GGGGCCGGGGCCGGGGCGGGCGCGGCTCCTCTCCCGGAGGCTGGCGGAGTGGGAGGGCGAGCCGCGGCTCCGGCGAAGCTTTAATAATCCCATCCGCCAGGCCCACTCGCAGGTTTTTTTCGCTCGGTTTCGGATTTTTTTTTTTCGGTGTGGGACATTCTGCAAACTTTTTTTTTTTTTCTGACGTGTAAAGCTGTAACCACAAATTGTAGCGGCCCTCCCCGAGGTGGGGGGAGGCGGGGGGAGGAGGGAAGGGAGGGCTTCTGGGGCTCCTCTCCCTCCCACGACACCGAGGGGGGGTGAGGTGAGGCGAGGCTGCGGCGGTACCACCCCGGGCCTCCTGGGGGAGGGGGCGGGGAGGGCATCGTCCGTCGGCCAACTCCCCGGAGCCAGCCGGGGGAGCGCGTCACCCTGCCTCTCCCTTCCCTCCGAGCCCGCGGTCCCGGGCGCCGGCCCCTGGCCCCTGGCCCCTGGCCCCTGGCCGGGCGGGTGGGCCCTCACCCTACCTCTGCCTCCTCTCGTCTAACCTTCTCTCCCCTCCCCTCCCCCTGAGTTAATGCAATGACACATTCTCCCACATGCCAGCTAGCTGGCCTCCAGGCCAGTGATGGTGTTTTTCCTGCTGCCCTTTGTCTGGGCTGACCGCCCCCCTTGCCTATTGTCCCGGCGCTTGTCCCATTTCCAAAAGCCGGGCGCAGCGAGGCGCTGGGCTGGGGCAGGTGACTAACCCGCTCACAATGCCCCCTGGGGGGGCGGAAGAGGGCACGGCAGGCCCACGGCCGGCGGGGCAGCTGAGGCACTTGGCGGGTTTTCCGTCGAGTTCACAAGGTTCTTCATTCTTCTCCAGTGGCCGCCGGGAGTGCACTGGGGGGACTGGTAATTCATTAATCGGCACGCGGCCGGCACCGGACCAGTTTCGACACCAGAGGCTTGGTGGGTGACTCAGCCGGGCACTCCATTCAAGGCGATGGACAGGCCAGAGCCCCCCCACCTCTGCGAACCGCATCCCCAGACAGCCAGTTGGCTGCTCCTGCCTTTGGGTTGGGGGGGTTGCTGCTTTCCGGTGCTGGGGCAGGGGCTTTTGGGCTGGGGTGTCTCTGCCTCCCGCCCCCCCTAGGGCCTGGGGTGGGAGTTGCTGTCCTGGCTCCCAGAGGACCCCTCAGCCCAGAGCCTCCTGGAGGGGCTGTCTGCCTTCTTCCCGCTGCGGAGGGTGGCCGGGAGAACGCGAGGGAAACAGCCCATGGAGCCCGCCGACTCCCCCCGGGTGATTTCCCTTGGGGGTAGGCATTTGGACTCCAGGGCTCTGGAGCCAGACCCCCAGTTCCATCACTTGGGGATAAGTTGCTTTTGTTGCTGTGGGTGTGTTGTTTGCCCCAGGCCTGGAGGGTGAAGCCTGTCTTGGTCAGTCTGCCCGGCTGCCTGCAGAGAGAGGGCGCCGGTCCGAGCCGGCGGCCTGGTCCTGCCCAGTGCCGGGTCTCCCCTTCACTGCACTGTGAGAACTGGGGTGGGGGGGCGGGGGGGTGGGGAAGAGGTTTGTTTTCAATTACCTCACTGGAGTGGGGCAGAGTTTGTTGTTGTTTTTTTTTCCTCTCTCTCTTCTTTCTTTCTTTCCTTTTTCTTGCTTTTTTTCTAAATGAGGGGGAAAGGAGCTGGGCAGGAGAGCTGGCCTGGGCTGAGGGCAGGGGGCTTTCTTGGCCACCAGTAGCCGTCCTGAGAAAGCCTGTCCTGGAGGGCCCTTCCGAAAGTGCCGGGCCCTCACCCCCCAGCCAGAACTTGGGTTTCGATGACATTCTTGGCGGGTGAGCCCCAATCTTTTGATGCCCATGCCAAGGTCAAGGAGGCAGATGCCCAGTGGGTGACCGGCACTGCAGCCAGCCTGGAGGCCTCCGAGCAGCCACCCCTTCAGCCGGGGTGGGGGGCCTGCGCGCTTCCCGGCTCAGCCCGCCTGCTGGAGCGCCTGCAGAGGCAATGTGGTTTGGATTTGGCCAGGCCCCTCAGCACCTTATAAAGCACCTTGCTGAGTCAGGGAGAAAGCAGCCCCACCGAGGGGGGCAGGAGGGAAAGGGGAAAGAGGGAGAGGGGGCTGAGGAAGGGGTGGGGGCCGGGGGGAGGAGGCCCGGCGGGAAGGAGGAGACACAGCAGCGTGGGCTAAAGGGGGGGGGTCTGGGAGGGAGTCCACGGTGTCCCCACACCTGGGGGTCTAGAAGGCTTCGACTTCCTGGAATCCAGGGTTGCAGCTAAGGTGGGAACCCAGGACCGCCCCCCCGCCCCCATGTCATGACCCCGGGAGTGGGGAAAGTCATGTCATGTTCTCCCTCTGCCTCCTGTCTGGACTTGCATCCCTGCCCTCTCCCCTCACCCAGTGGGGGCCAGGCCTCCCCCTCCCCCATCTGCCCCACTGCCAAAGTGAAAATCAACTCCATCTCCAAGCCGCCAGTGCCCCTGCCATGTCTGGGCAAAGGCAGCAGGCCAGGAGCTGCCAGCGGTCGGGGTGGGGGCTGGAATAGAGACTGTGCCTTCACTCTGCAGGCCCAAGGGGGGTGGGCTGCTGGCACTTGGGGGAGAACGAAGAAAGGCCAGGCCGAGCAGGCTCAGCCCCTGCAGGGCTTCCTGGGGTGACTTGGGACTGGTGGCTGACCTCTGACCTCCTGCTAGGGACCCGGGGGAAAGCCCCTGCTCCCCCATACCTCTCGACTCCAGTAAGGGGTCCTCTTCCAGCTCCAGCACTCTGGGTTTGCGGGGGGGGGGGGCGCAGAGGTTAGGGGAGCTCTAGACCTCTATCCCTTGGTGAGTGGTACAGACATCTCCTGAGACCTGCCGGAGCCGGGCCTGGGAAGGACAGAGAGGGTGACCGGGACTCCCTCCTGCCTCCAAGATGTCAGTCTATGACAAGGGACACTCATGACTGCACCAGGGGTGGGGAGGGCAGGAGCTCCGGGGGCAGTAGAGCTTTGGGTGGAAGCCAACTGGATGGCGCCCACCTGAGCAGAGTTGGCCCTGGGCATGGCTCACTGGGCCCCTGCAGTGGGCAGTGGGCTCCAGTTAGCCAGGGTAGCCAGGGACAGGCTCTTCCCCTTTCTGGGGAGTGGGCTGTGCCACCCCATCCCAAGATGGTGGGGGACCCATGGGCAAGAGAGGGAGACACTGCTTTCTGCCTTACCATCACCCGGTGAGGCTCCAAGGGTGTGGCGGGGTGGGGGCAGGGCTGGCACCACTGATGACTGAGCTCCCCTCCAAAGGGGGCGGAGGTGAGTCAGTGTGGGCTCAGGGATGGCATGGCCCCCCCCCATCGCTGGCATCTTTAGGGCAGGCTCTCCAGATGCCCCAAAAGCACCATGTCCCACGCAGCTGCAGAATGAGTCCGGACGGGCGCGGATGCCGAGCTGGGGGCCTCCAGCCCGGTGCTGTCCGATGGGCGAGCAGGGGCTGGGGCTGCAGAGGCCTAGGGGACCTTTCCTAATCCTCTCTTGCTCACCCGGCGTTCTCTGGGCGCCTGCTGCGTGCCAGGCGCCCAGGGCCCCGGGCCAGGCTGGAGGCTGACCTGCGTGCAGGCAGGTGGGGCAGGGCCATGGCATCGCTCCCTCGCTCGGAAGGACGGCTCGCCCGGGAGTCAGCTGCGCGCCGAGGCTCTGCGTCAGTGATTTCACTTTGTTCTTACAGAAACCCACAAAATAAGGACAGCTACTTCCCCTATTTTATACCTGAGGAAACCGAGGCTTGGTGAGGAGGCACCTGTCTAAGGTCACACAAGTGGTAGAGCCGGAGCCGGACCCAGGCCCACCTGTCCTCAGCACCCTTTAACTGCATGGTGTGGGCGCAGGTCTGGGGCAGCCTCTGGGCCCCAGACTCTGGAAACAGGGTGAGGCTGGGGGCTGCGAGGCTCCAGACTGCGGGGGGTGGGGGGTCGCCTAGCGCCAGGCTCTGAACGTTCACACTGGGGGCGCAGTGGATTTCTTCAGGACTCCCAGGCTGCCGCTGTCCCGTGAGAGCCCCTGTGTGCCTGGGGCTCGGGCGACCTGGCCCTCCTGCCCGCCACCCACCATTGCCACCACGGACGCGACCTGCGGCGTGAGGCTCACCCTGGGCACGCTCACGGCACCACAGGCGGAGCTGTCGACCTCCCACGGGAGTTTGGACGGTGGATGAGCCTGCGCTGGGAGTCGGGCAGCCGCGTACCACTGCGCCAGGCCTCCCTGGGCTTCCCCGGGCCCGACCACGGGGCCTGCCAAGCGAGGGCTGAGCAGCTGGGGCCCGCCGCCTGGCCCGGGGCACAGCCTCCCTGCTGCGGGGCTGTGCAGGGGCCACAGAGGGCAGGAGGGCGGCACGGGGTGTGCACTCGCCCTTTCCCTCCAGTGGGCAGGCGCCCAGCGGCCCTGGCTCACCCTGTGCTGGCCGTGATGTCAGCGGAAACCCCGGGGCCTCCTCCCACCTCATCCAGGCCCTGCCCCGTGTCCCCCACCCACACCTGGACCAGCTCAGCCTCCGAGGACCCGCGCCCAGCGCCCCTGCCCCCCGCCACGCCCCGCCCGGCCTGGGTTCCATTGCCCTGTCTGCACGGGTGTCTGGGTGATGGGTGTGAGGAGGGCAGGGGCAGAAAGGGTACCCCCAGGGGCGCGGCACCTCCCCTGCCCGCCAGGAGCTGCCCTGCCATCCTCCCAGGATGTTCCATGGCCCTGGCCAACCCATGCCGCAGGCTCCGTGACTCCGTCTCCCCTGGCAGAGGCGCGGGGTTACCTCTCCCTGGGCTGGAGATCTTATCCCGCCTGCTGAGTCACAGCCGGCTCCTCCCGCCCTGCGCCGCCCTCCACACCGGCCTCCCTCTGGGCTGCTCGCTGCTCTCTCCAGACTGCCTGGGCCCTCAGCGGCCCCCAGGACCAGAGGACCGACGGCACCTCCCAGCCACTCCATGCGCCCGCCCTGGGCCCTGCTGGGCAGTGAGGGCTGCAGGTTGCTAGGGCTGCGAGCTGTGTGACCCTGGGCAAGTCACCAGGCCTGACACCCGGCTGTCTGGCGCAGGGAGGGGCCGTGGCCACGGTGCCCTCCCCAGAGTCCGGGACAACAGAGTAGCCCAGTCAGCTCTGCGGTGTTGACCGTCTCTGCCACACCGCGATGTCCCTCGGGGAGTGCCGCACCCCTGCCGGCTGCACACCCCTGTTCTTTCACCCTGCCCCCGCCCCTGTCTCCCACCACAGGGCACACAGAACTCCCAGGCCCTTGCTCATCTACCCCCACAGTGAACAGGGTTTGACTCGATGTCCAGAGGACTGGCCTCCTCAGAGGCGTGCGGGAAGGCCCAGGGTGCAGGCCTCTGGGAAGAGAGGAGCCCGGGAGAGCAGCAGGGCAGCCCCTCTGGCTGGCCTCGGCTGTCTAGCGGCAGAGTCAGGTGGTTTGAGCCGGCGAGGCTCCCCCTCCTCCGCCCCCCTCACCTTCCCGAGGTGCACCTCACAGTCCTCCTCAGAGCAGGGGTGCTCCAGCCTCCAGGACTCAGAAGGCCCCGGGGCTGTGGAGCCAGTTGTCGGGAGCCTGGAGAGCGGCTGGGCAGAATGTGAGTGGCCCGGGGGCGTGGTGTACCTGGCCTGGCACCGCTCAGGCCAGGGCCCGGTCACCCCCAGGTTTCTGAAGTGCCTCGCTACGTGCAGACTGCCCGAGGAGCCGAGCGGTCCCCAGGTCTCAGGGCCCGGAGGTGCAGAGGGCAAGATGGCTCCAGAGCCGGCCTGCTATTAATTAGTGGCCTCCGCCCGGCCTGCCCCACTTCCCTGAATGTCTTCCCCTTCCCCCTCCACTGCAGTAGGCCCATCTGGGGGCCGGGGAGGAGGGCTTCACGGCCCTTCCCTCCTGGGGTGCCCAGCGCTGGGCACCCAGATGGGACGGGCGCGGGTGGGGGAGGCCTGGAGGCTGGGCTGGCTCTCGCCCTGCCAGGCCGGGCAGGCTGGCCTGTGTTCTGGGAGGGGAACTGGACATGGTGTCTGTCTCCCTCTGCTGGTCCCTGAGGGGACAGCTGGGCCAGGAAGCTTTCACCAGAGTTGGGGTTGCCCATGTCTCCCCAGACAGCAGATGGTGAGTATGGGGGTGGGGGCTGAGCAGAGGGCCAGGGCCCCTGCTAGCTTCAGCCGCAGGACACGGACACTTCCCCTGGGTCCTGCTGCCGGGACCCTGAAGGGTGGCCCGGCCAGGCCAGGTTACTCCCCGAGGCCTTCCCGGGGGGCTGAAGGGGGCCCCCAAACGGCCCCTTCCCCTTCTTGCCTGTGAATGGAGCTGTCATCCATGGATTTATCTAAACCTTTCGTGAAGCTATTTCTGTTTCCAGCCGAGACCACATCTCGGGGTAATGAGTTCCATGGCTGTCTCCCCTGCTGGGTGAAGCACGCTGCCTTTGATTTGTCCTAAACTTACCTCACTTGCGCTCCGAGGGGGCCTGTAACTCCAGCATGCCAGGTGTTGGCGAACAAGCCCGCGCTTCCCCTAACCACCCCCGCCGTGGGGCTAAAACATTCCATCCCGTCCCCTCGGCCTCCAGCCCCGCAGACAGACGGAAGGCCTGTGCCGCTGGCCAGTGCCGCGCAGGGTGGCGTGGGCACAGCTGTTTCCCTGGGGCAGCTGGCGAAGCAGCCAAGACCAGCTCTCCCGGAAATGCAGAGGGCACCCAGGGCCAGAGTGGAGGGCGGCCCCCCTGGCCTCTCCCCGGCTGACTTCTGCTCCTGCCCGTCCTCATTGCTCCGTAATGTTTGTCAGGGCGCCTGGCTCCCAGGCTGCAGGTGTGGACTCATCTGGCTTCACCCACCGGACATCCGCCGTCCCTCGTGCTGACCCAGCCCGGCAGGCGCACCCCGGAGACAGAGCGGCAGACACCGCGGAAATGGCCACAGCAATGCCGAGAGCGGCTTCTCCGGGCCGCAGAGCCTTGGGCTATGTTTAACCTCACAGGGCTCTTGGAGGCAGGGTCCGGTCACCTCTTCCCCACCTTACCGAAGGGGAAACTGAGGCTCAGAGGATATGGGCGACAGGCCCTGTCGCCAGGATGCAGACAGGTGGCTGCTGCCGGGACCCCACTGTCCAGCTCGACAGACACGCTGGTGTCCAGTCTGGCGGCCTCTCTGGACCCCATGCTCTCCGGCGCTCCACGTGTGCCTATTAAACCCCTGCTACGTGCCAAGTTTGCTCTGTTTGCTGGAGAAATGCTGGGGAGCAAGGGAGGCTGGGCAGGCTCACGTGTGGGCGCTGGAGGCGCTGCCCTGCCGCGGGGCTGGGGGCTGGGGGCTGCCTTAGCGCCCCCCAAGCTCAGCTGCCATGCCCGCCTGCTTACCGCAGGCCCACACACCACCGCTTTCTGTGTGTGGCACACACAACAGCAGAGTGGGCGCCCAAGCCCTGGAGGCCGCCAGGCGGCGTGACCCCAGCTCGGCAAAGCCCCGCCCAAAGGGGACCTCTGCTCAGCGTCCCAGGACGCCCCCGACCGTCCTCCCCAGAGGCCCCTTGTGAATGCACTTTCTCTGCCACTTGTTCTCCATGCCGCCCCCCTCAGACTGCTGCTTCTCCAGGACGCCTTCCTGGCTGCCGACGAGGCGTGCCCGCCGCTTCTCCAGCCCATGCTGTCACATCACGTCAGCCCCCGGCTGCCAGTGCCCGGCAGACTTCGTGCAGGGCCTCGGGCAGGCGGTTCTGCAGCCTGATGCCTTCCCAGCTGTCTGGGGCTCAGCCCCGGCCCCCTTCAGGCCCTTGCTCACACCCGCTTCGCGAGGCACCTCACCGTGCCGCGGCTGTGCAGACTTGCTCGCCTGCTCCCCAGCCGCCTTCTCTGTTTCCGTGGACTGACACCTTCAGGCGCGACGTGACTTTCCGCCGTTCTCTCCCCACGCGGAGGCAGCCCGGGAGGGCGTCCACTCCTGGCTTAGAAACGTGTGTCTGCGTGTAGGAAGTGAATGAGTCCGGCCCTGACCGGCCCAGCTGAGGGTTTTTCAGCAAAGCAACACAGCACCACATGTGTTCAGTAGAATGTCCTCGAATGTGGCATGTCGGGGCCACCTGGGTGCGGCCTCGGTCCCTGCCCGGGGCAGAGCAGCAAGCCACCGTGCGGGCTCGCCCCACTGTCACGAGGGAGCCGGCCGGTGCTCAACAGACGACCATGCCGCCTGCGTTTTGACTTACAGTGGGTTTGCCGGGCCATCACCCCACCCTTGGGCGGGAGGTCGGCCTGAGCTCTCGGGAGCCCATGACTTCAGATCTCCCCTTGGTTGAGAAGTAGTGGTGGAAACAAGAAATTTCCAAACAGAAAGCTCTTTTTAAAATTTGCAGTGGTAACTCCCTTCCATTCTGTATCTGCTACCACGCCTACACTCCCCACCCTGCCAGGTTCTCACATACCTGCAGGTCGCTGCCAATGTGGAGTCGGCAGAGACTAAGAATTGGGGGTTTAAAGAGTCCTGACAGCATCGCCTCCAACCCCCTCTTACTGGAGGAAGCTGAGGCCCAGAGAACGTCGCCTGGCTTCTGTGGTCAGCTGAGAAGGGCTGGAGCTGCACCCAGGTCTCCTGACTCTTGGTACAGACCCCAAATTGTCCTTGGGTCCCAGTACCCCACTTCTCGCTCAACACAGAGGGCTCCTGGAGACAGTCCCGAATCATCATCCCTACAGGACATGAGCCTCACTGGCTGTGCAACTGCAACCCTGGAGTGGGCCGTGGCCTCAGATCCGGGGCACCTTCCCAGCCCCCCGGCCTGGGTGCAGCGAGGCGGCCAACCCCAGCTCCCCTCCAGAGCTGCGGCAGGTGAGGACAGAGAAGGTGGGGCCCCTCCAGGATCACAGCATGTCCAGGTAGGAAGGGACCCCAGTGAGCACCTGATGCCACTCAGGTCACACAAAGGAGTAAGGACTGCAGAGTCAGCCCCAGGGTGGGCGGCCTAGGGGAACTGTGTGGGGCACAGTTCCTGTTCCAGGCTCCTTTCCTCAGGGGAGTCCACTGAGTCCTGATTTTGGAAGGTGGGGAGTTCCCCACTGCACCAACACTTTTTTTTTATGCATATAGAACTGGGGTACAGGACAGATTACGGGGACAGGTTTAAGAGATTCCCCAGACAGAGTGGGGGGCAGAACCGGCAGATTGACTGAAATACAATGCTGAGGGGAGCAGCGGGGAGACAGAAGGGGTCTGCTGCGCCCCGTGGGTCATCCCCTGGTTGGGTATCGAACTGATGCTGAAGCGGCTGCAGACAGCTTCCTAGTGCTGCACTTTAACCCACCAGGTTAAAGGGAGGGTCACCAGGGAGGGCCCACCACCAGTGCCCTCTTAAAAGAAAACTTTAAATTCTGAACTTTCAGTGCATGTGCATGTCCAAATAGACCCATAAAGGCCCTAAATTGGAGTTTATGTCTCCCTCTCTCTCCAGCCTGGTTTGGCCACTTGGGGGCCAGGGCACCTCAGCCCACAGGTGGATGGGGGGTCGCGATGGGAGGTGTGCTGCACTGGGACTGCCCAGCCCTCCCCTCCAGCAGTCTGGGGGCTTGGGTGGCATTTCCTGCTCCAGGCAACTGTGTGGGCCAGGTGGAGGGCCTCCCTGGCCCGCTGGAAAGAGCAGCGGGAAAAGTACGAGGTTAGCCCTAGCCTATTGTTTCTTGGACAGAGTGTGGGCGGCACAGTGAAGGGAAGGCAGGGAACCCTGGTGCCAGGAAATGGGTCAGCGAGACCCCCATGTCTTCCTCCCGCCTGCACTTCTGGCCTGCCTGAAATGGCCACAGACGCCTGACTACCCGGAGGCAGCCCCACACCTCCCGGAGGGCACCTCCACCAGCCCGGTGGCCTGGCCACCCGCTGGGCCTTGACTCTGGCTCGCAGCCCCCCAGGGCACCTTTCTGCCCTTTCCTGCCTGGAGACTCTCTGCGTTGCAGAGTCGGTCAACGACCGTGAAGCGAGAGTGGACCTCCACCCCGCGGCCCCGCGGCCGGCCTCTCGCTCCCTGGGCGCGGCGGGGCCCAGGGTCCTAGCCCGCAGGCGGGTCTGGGTGCCCCGGAC